TTCTAGCCTGGGTTTTAACTAATAAATGATCCAAAGGAAAAATCACAAAACACAAAAACGTCATCAAAATTCAGTGTGATTATTTTTAAAGTATCATATCAGAATCAGTATCGGCGATATTAGACCTGTATTTACTTGGTATCGATCAATCCCTAAATTTGCAGTATCGCACACTGACAAAAAGACAGGAGAAAGAACTGGAAGTGTCAGAAACAAAGATGCTGAGGATCTCCTTAGAAGTGACAAGGATTAATAGGATTAGGAATGAGATCATCAGAAGTACAGCACAGGTTGAACAACTGGGAGATAAAGTTAGAGAGACCAGACTGAGATGGTTTGGACATGTCCAGAGGAGGGACAATGGGTATACTGGTAGAAGGATGTTAGAAATGCAGCTGCCAGGAAAAAGACAAAAAGGAGATCTATGGATTAAATTAGAGAGGACATGGAGATAATTGGAGTGAGGACAGAGGGTGCAGAGGACAGAGTGAGATGGAGGAGGATGACTCGCTGTGGTGACCCCTGAAGAGGGAAAAGCCAAAAGAAGAAGCATCACATGTGGTACATAAGTTGGAACGAAACTGTGTACTCAAGGTCCCAGTTACACCCAAAAATAGCAAAAATAATGAAGCTCAACTTATCTTTAGTTGGCAAGTCTTGGTTTATTCAAGTCAAATGTGAGATACATCATTCTTGAACTGTTTTCAACACCTCAAGGCATTAAATATATTACTTCTTTTACATTAAAAAAACTATATGAAAAACTGTGATGTGATGAAATACTGTAGTAGTCTGAATACTGTCTCAGTTTATTAAAAAAAAATACTAAAAGAAACTAAAATCTTAGAAGCAAACAACAAAAATTTGTCAAACAAAACTGGGTTTAAGCTGATTTTCTGTCAGAAACAAATTGCTCTTACTTTTTGTTATTCTTGCCAAAATAAATAGGGCCCATGATGATAATAATAATAATAATTAGTATTTTGTTGGCATTACCAAAACTAAATTTTATCATATTGTTTCATTATACAAAAAGACGAACATTTGTTGTAGTAAACAGAGTTGTTTCTTGTCATCAAAAGTTCTAATGTATTTAATTTATGATGTAAGAGATTGCTTTTCAGTTAGACATCAGTTTGGAGGGGCATTGCAATTACAGTAACAGTTTATTTTAAGAAGAAACATGAAGCTGGTATTGATGCAAAAATATAGTGGAGTAATGCTTGGCATCCTCAGAACAAGCCCTTAAAAATGTATCAGATGATACTTTAAAGAAATATAGTGATGTATTTGTTAAATTTGTTTTAAAATCAATCCTACTTTACCTTAAATGACTTGTATTTTGAATATGCTTTTAGAGTATGAAATGACAGAATAAATAAATACTGTACTGCTGTTACATGTAACTACTTGTTTTTTTAATTGCATCCCAAAAATTTCTAAGAGAATCCTAGTTCACAAAAACTTTTATTAAATCACTTACAACTGGATCAACTTCCACAAAGAACACAACTGCTTTTGTTCACATTTACCCTTTAAAAATGTTTTCTTTCTGACACATTGTTCACATCTTTTAATCTCTTTTCCCTTAGCTCAGAACACTGCAGTAAAACTTCAATATATGTAGTAAACAGGTTTTCTCGCACACAATTTGTGAACTTACTATTATATTGTCGGAAACATAATATGAGTATAAAACGAAAGTAAAAACAAACTCACTCAGAAACCAAAAAATAAAATAAACTTGTGTTACAATCTCATTTGGCAATGTTAGGTCACTCTTTGGCTTTTCAAACTATCACCATTTAACTGTTCGTTTTTTTAAACTGACTAAATTTGTTGAATTGATATAAAATCCACAACGATGCCACTGATGAAAGAAAACAAAAATAGCTAAATATGTACATGCTATTAAAAAAATACAAAACCCTGTTATTTTCTCCTGATACTTTATAGTGCATAGTGTTTGGGTTTTTTTTAAACAGTTTTTGTTTCTTTATCTTTGCAGCTGTGGTCCCAGCATGACTTTATTGATAAAGTTGACGATTGCCACAGCTGGCTGCTCAGGGTCCATCTCAGCAAACAGGTGACACACGTTCTCTGTAGTGGTGCCGCCTCGGCGCGCCACGAAGCCGAACATCCTACAAAAAACACAGGAGGCATGAGAGTCCAAAAGACCAGAGAGCAAAGAATACACAAAATGTCCCAGTTTATTCACATGTTGTCAAATATTCATAGTTCTTACATGCAGGCAGGTTATTGCTTGAGTTTTAAAACTGCAAGTAAATGATAAAACAGGTCTCTCTTGAAAACGAGTCCTCATGACTTAATGAAACTACCTGTATGGATAAAGGTTCAATTAAAATAAGAAGAAAAAGGTCAGCTCTTTATCTTACAAAAGTGAGCTTGTTTCACTGCATGATCAGTTTTAGAACTGTTTAAGAAATGATTGGTAACTCTTTACAAACGCACAGCCTGGTTTGAAAGCATTAATAAATACTTTGTAAAAAAAAAAAAAGGGACTCTGTTGGGAAGTGGTACTCATTCTCTCCGTGTTCTGCAGTTAATTTGTATGTTGTGTGCTTTATTGTGCAGGTCTTCACTGAATATGTTTTATGGTAGAATTTTTACTTCCAATGTCAGAGCACCAAAGCTAGTTATAAACTGAGGAACTAAATTGCTAATCACAGGCTGTTAAACAAACAGGCACATTGTTAAACGTCAGTAATATGTTGGATTCCTAAATGGAGCATAAGACATTAAATCAAACACAAGCCGAGTGAGTTTTACTAGATAATTTCTTTCTGAAATTCAGATTCTGATGAAAATGAGCAAAAAGCAAAGCAAAGCAAAAGAGACTTCCAGTTTCTGAAGCACAGCTATTATTATTAATATTGTAGGGATGCACGATATTGGATTTTTGGCCGATATCGGATATGCCGATATGTTAAAACGTATTTGGTCAATAACCGATACCAATACCGATTTTTTTTTCTCCCCTGGACCTACTTACAGAGACTACATAGCTTTCTCTGCTGTGGAATTAAAATACTACATTATTCTGCATGGTCTTTGTCAGTTTGGTCTGCTATCAAATGTAGATGCCAAAAATGGGGCTGAAAATGATGCAACACTTCAACTTAGATTATGTTTAATGTCAAATTTATTCATGACACTTACTGTAACACAATGACAACACTCGAAATGTGCAAATTTGTAAATTTTCACAAATCTAAACTCAACAGCGCGCGTGATGTCATAATGTTGTGGTGACGCTGAAGGCATCCTTGTCACTGTGTTGTCATACAAAAACAGCACCTTATGGTAAATGGACTGTACTTATATAGCACCTTTCTATCTTATCAAGATACTCCAAGTTCTTTACACTACAATCTGTGCCCTCATTTAACTATTCATACATCACTCTACTAGATCTATACAAAGACTAATAAGTGCTTTATCACATTCATACACTGATGGGACACACATCGGAGGAAATGAGGGGTTCAGTGTCTTGCCCAGGGACACTTCGGCATGTGATTGCTGGTGGAATCGAACCCCCCACTCTTGCACTGGAGGACGACTGCTCTAACCACTCAGTCACAGCCGC